CAACACGATTCGAGTATCACCCCTAATCTTAGTTAGAACAAAAAAAAATTAGTTATTTTTATTTTCTATTTATCCAACAAAACACAAAAGAATAAAAGTGTATGATTCATACTTTTCATCCTTGAAGATAAAAAGTGTATCATTTCTATTTTCCATCATTCCTACCAAACGCGACATTAGGCATAATATTTCTGATGTCTGTTAAATACTTAAAATAGAAAAGGATCAAAAATATCCCCGGTATCAATAATCCTCTTCGTCACACCCTTGTTGAACAACAAACAACAAAGCTTCTCTTGCAACTGAATTTGTGCCTCACAAAACGCTACAAATTTCTTAGACAAACATGCCACATTCATCCCNACGATGACACGACTCGAATTTGACACAAATTTTATGACACGAACTTAAAAATGACCTGACATGAAAACAAGAAATATAAAAGACTCATATTCAGTTCAATCATGCAAACTCAAAATTGACATCATCAACTCATTTATTTAAAAATAAACACTTTTTCTATTTTCTTATTTGAATGGTAACACGACATTAACATAAAACTAATATGTTTAACTAGTATTATAGATATAAAATGTTAATTATTTGTAACTATTTATTAAGCACTGACATAATTATTATATAAAAAGTATATTTTTACTTATTATTATTATATTATTTAAGTTAATTTTTAGTTTATAGAAAAAATATTAACATGGATTCAATTAAGTAAAAATAAAATATTAGCGTTAAATTTTTTATTCAAAGTTTATGTGGGTCAACACGAATACGAATACGAACACGAACACGACACGAAAATAAACAGGTCAATTCGCAATTCGACACGATACAATTAGTTAAATGAGTTGAGTTAGGTTTGACTAATGTTCGACACAAACCCGTAATGACTCAACACAAATCTGACACAACACGATTCGAGTATCACCCCTAATCTTAGTTAGAACAAAAAAAAATTAGTTATTTTTATTTTCTATTTATCCAACAAAACACAAAAGAATAAAAGTGTATGATTCATACTTTTCATCCTTGAAGATAAAAAGTGTATCATTTCTATTTTCCATCATTCCTACCAAACGCGACATTAGGCATAATATTTCTGATGTCTGTTAAATACTTAAAATAGAAAAGGATCAAAAATATCCCCGGTATCAATAATCCTCTTCGTCACACCCTTGTTGAACAACAAACAACAAAGCTTCTCTTGCAACTGAATTTGTGCCTCACAAAACGCTACAAATTTCTTAGACAAACATGCCACATTCATCCCTTACCCCAAAAGTGATAGTTCCATCCTTTTCAAAAATTGCACCATCAAAATTAACCTATTGAAATGTCTTGCTCTAGGAGGAGACCATTGAATAAGGTTGATAATCAAAGCCAACAACTTGAGTTCAGCTTATTTTGGATTCATTCAAGTTCGGCTTGTTTTCTCGTTTAAAAAATGAACTGAATTTGAAGGTTTGACTCGAACTCAACAAACTCGACTTATTTATGTGTAAGTACTTAGGCTCTTTTCATTTTGGGCTCATTTAGAATAATTTTTTAACTCATTTAAAAAAAACGAGCTCANCTTATTATTATTATATTATTTAAGTTAATTTTTAGTTTATAGAAAAAATATTAACATTGATTCAATTAAGTAAAAATAAAATATTAGCGTTAAATTTTTTATTCAAAGTTTATGTGGGTCAACACAAATACGAACACGAACACGGCACGAAAATAAACAGGTCAATTCGCAATTCGACACGATACAATTAGTTAAATGAGTTGAGTTAGGTTTGACTAATGTTCGACACAAACCCGTAATGACTCAACACAAATCTGACACAACACGATTCGAGTATCACCCCTAATCTTAGTTAGAACAAAAAAAAATTAGTTATTTTTATTTTCTATTTATCCAACAAAACACAAAAGAATAAAAGTGTATGATTCATACTTTTCATCCTTGAAGATAAAAAGTGTATCATTTCTATTTTCCATCATTCCTACCAAACGCGACATTAGGCATAATATTTCTGATGTCTGTTAAATACTTAAAATAGAAAAGGATCAAAAATATCCCCGGTATCAATAATCCTCTTCGTCACACCCTTGTTGAACAACAAACAACAAAGCTTCTCTTGCAACTGAATTTGTGCCTCACAAAACGCTACAAATTTCTTAGACAAACATGCCACATTCATCCCTTACCCCAAAAGTGATAGTTCCATCCTTTTCAAAAATTGCACCATCAAAATTAACCTATTGAAATGTCTTGCTCTAGGAGGAGACCATTGAATAAGGTTGATAATCAAAGCCAACAACTTGAGTTCAGCTTATTTTGGATTCATTCAAGTTCGGCTTGTTTTCTCGTTTAAAAAATGAACTGAATTTGAAGGTTTGACTCGAACTCAACAAACTCGACTTATTTATGTGTAAGTACTTAGGCTCTTTTCATTTTGGGCTCATTTAGAATAATTTTTTAACTCATTTAAAAAAAACGAGCTCAACAAACTCAACTCGAGCTCATACAGGCTCATTTGATTATCAGTCCTACCATTGAGTTATAGATTGTGCAGTTATATTAAGGTTCCTAAATACCAAAGCTGACTCATATTGCAATTATCTAGTTTAGGTAAATATGATAAGATCATATTCTTGGACTAAAGCAGATTTAAATAATTAAAATTTGATTTTTTGTCAATTCTGAGTCTAAATTAAAGTGGGACACATTCGTTGTTTCAAATAAACTTTCATGGATTTGTGTTCCACTCTGTGAGAGGAATAACGTAATATATTCTTTTGTTCAAATAAAATAACAAATGAATGAGAAAATATGTTTTAGAGTGACCTTCTTGAAATGTGAAAGTAGAGGTGTGCAATGTGAGATTTGACACTAATCTAACATTANAATCTGACACAACACGATTCGAGTATCACCCCTAATCTTAGTTAGAACAAAAAAAAAATTAGTCATTTTTATTTTCTATTTATCCAACAAAACACAAAGGAATGAAAGTGTATGATTCATACTTTTCATCCTTGAAGATAAAAAATGTATCCCTTATACTTTCCATCATTCCTACCAAACGCGATATTAGGCATAATATTTCTGATGTCTGTTAAATACTTAAAATAGAAAAGGATCAAAAATATCCCCGGTATCAATAATCCTCTTCGTCACACCCTTGTTGAACAACAAACAACAAAGCTTCTCTTGCAACTGTCATTTCCGCAATTTGTGCCTCACAAAACGCTACAAATTTCTTAGACAAACATGCCACATTCATCCTTTACCCCAAAAGTGATAGTTCCATCCTTTTCAAAAATTGCACCATCAAAATTAACCTATTGAAATGTCTTGCTCTAGGAGGAGACCATTGAATAAGGTTGATAATCAAAGCCAACAACTTGAGTTCAGCTTATTTTGGATTCATTCAAGTTCGACTTGTTTTCTCGTTTAAAAAGTGAACTGAATTTGAAGGTTTGACTCAAACTCAACAAACTCGACTTATTTATGTGTAAGTACTTAGGCTCTTTTCATTTTGGGCTCATTCAGACTCGCCTTATTTTCTAAACGAACAAAATTTGAATAATTTTTTAACTCATTTAAAAAAAACGAGCTCGACAAACTCAACTCGAGCTCATACAGGCTCATTTGATTATCAGTCCTACCATTGAGTTATAGATTGTGCAGTTATATTAAGGTTCCTAAATACCAAAGCTGACTCATATTGCAATTATCTAGTTTAGGTAAATATGATAAGATCATATTGTTGGACTAAAGCAGATTTAAATAATTAAAATTTGATTTTTTGTCAATTCTGAGTCTAAATTAAAGTGGGACACATTCGTTTTTTCAAATAAACTTTCATGGATTTGTGTTCCACTCTGTGAGAGGAATAACGCAATATATTCTTTTGCTCAAATAAAATAACAAATGAATGAGAAAATATGTTTTAGAGTGACTTTCTTGAAATGTGAAAGTAGAGGTGTGCAATGTGAGATTTGACACTAATCTAACATTAGTTGAGGAAAAAGTTATACATGAACATATATAGACTAAATTTGTTCTATGAGAGTAGGCTCCAAAGGATACCACAATTTTATGAGCAGAGCGAGCACTTATATGTCTTGTGTTATACCACACACACACGCCCCGACCCAAACTGGTCGGGCCGATATGTGTGTGGGTGTGGTTTAGACGATGTCTTTTTTTTTTTGGGAAAAAAATCATTTAACGAATTGGGCCTTAATTCGAATTTAATTTCGATACCTGTTGGATTTAAAATTCGCATTGATTCAGATTATTGTTCCTTCTAATTTCAAATTTAAATTGTATCTGTTCAAGAGTGAATAGTTATTAAATGGTATCTTTTGACTGCATGTGTCTTCTGAGTTGTGTTTTTTCGCATGGTAGTTGTTTGGAACAGTCATCAGTTTGTCTATATAAATCCAGACTCATTACCATTCTGCATCAATTTTTTTTCGGAGTTAAGGCTGACATTAGTATATTATATTTCTATTTTAAGACAATCTACATTTGGAGAGTACATAACATAATTTCTGGTTCGCAAGACAAGTAGATTGGAGTGGTACTTCCATTCGCATGAAGATCATTATATTCTACGAGGCAGACGCTTTGATGTCTATAAGCACCGTGTGTAGAGACAAAATTTGTCTTAAGTATATAGTATCAAACACTAGACTTGATCTACTTAAAGTTCAATAACAGTTCTTGTTCTGTAAATGGGTCAGTTTATTCATTGTTTAAATTATAGATTTATTGTGCAACTGTTTTGTATGTACCTGTAGCTGTTTTGTTCTTGTCTGTTACTGTTTTGTTTTAAATTGCATGTTTCAAATTAGAAGTTTTGATAAGTAATTTTATTATATTTGAAATACCAAAAACCAAAACATATCAAATCAACTGTATACATAAAAATGGTATTATCATCTTTATGATCACCATTTCTATGGCCCTTTGGCTTACTAATTTCTTTTTCACATTCTCTCTCAATGATTTGGATTTATCATGACTGAACATCTATGAGAGTCACCAAACTGTGTAGGAAATATTTTCAGCAATGGCTCTAGAGTACTAGGATCAAATTTCCTTGCAAAAAGAAAGCAAATTGAGCTCATGACACCATTGTAAGTACAGTTAAACCCGAATCGCACACGATTCAAAAATGTCACCGACACATCTCGTCTCACAAACCTCTTCGGGTGTGAGCCACCTTGAGACCAATCAGTCCATGTAATGCTCGTATTCGAAGTCAGCTCGGGACAACGTTTGTTCACAAGTGTTGGCAAGTAATGCTCATCCATGTAACAAGGAGGCAAGCAATGCTCTTGAAACACAGGGTAATATGTCACATCGGAGACTATCTCGACCGCAAGCCTCCGGCTAACTTCAAACCATTGTGATCCTTTTCGCCAATTGGATAACGTGATCGTCGGCCACATTCGTTTGTTGTATCTTCCACGGCCTATTCGTCGTGGATCGTCGAAAGAACTGAGAAAGCTGTGGTTAGAGTTCATGAGGTATGTGTAGATTGTGGTGAAATTGAACAGAGGAATGCATGTTTCTGAGAGTAATACAAATCTCTCGTTGGAGAAGTCAAGGAGAGCATTGGCTAGAAGTCGTCTTTCTGCGTCGATCATTGTCACCCTTCCCCAGTGAACTGGCTGCAAAAATGAATCCATGAACATGATATTCAGTTAACGTATTAAATACTTTGGTAAAAGTACAACAAATAATCTCTCAAGAATGCAGTTTATGTCACTTTCGTCATAATTTTTTAATTATGTCATTTCAATCTTACAATTCTCCGATTTGCAATCACATTGGTCCANATTAAAATTTGATTTTTTGTCAATTCTGAGTCTAAATTAAAGTGGGACACATTCGTTTTTTCAAATAAACTTTCATGGATTTGTGTTCCACTCTGTGAGAGGAATAACGCAATATATTCTTTTGCTCAAATAAAATAACAAATGAATGAGAAAATATGTTTTAGAGTGACTTTCTTGAAATGTGAAAGTAGAGGTGTGCAATGTGAGATTTGACACTAATCTAACATTGGTTGAGGAAAAAGTTATACATGAACATATATAGACTAAATTTGTTCTATGAGAGTAGGCTCCAAAGGATACCACAATTTTATGAGCAGAGCGAGCACTTATATGTCTTGTGTTATACCACACACACACGCCCCGACCCAAACTGGTCGGGCCGATATGTGTGTGGGTGTGGTTTAGACGATGTCTTTTTTTTTTTGGGAAAAAAATCATTTAACGAATTGGGCCTTAATTCGAATTTAATTTCGATACCTGTTGGATTTAAAATTCGCATTGATTCAGATTATTGTTCCTTCTAATTTCAAATTTAAATTGTATCTGTTCAAGAGTGAATAGTTATTAAATGGTATCTTTTGACTGCATGTGTCTTCTGAGTTGTGTTTTTTCGCATGGTAGTTGTTTGGAACAGTCATCAGTTTGTCTATATAAATCCAGACTCATTACCATTCTGCATCAATTTTTTTTCGGAGTTAAGGCTGACATTAGTATATTATATTTCTATTTTAAGACAATCTACATTTGGAGAGTACATAACATAATTTCTGGTTCGCAAGACAAGTAGATTGGAGTGGTACTTCCATTCGCATGAAGATCATTATATTCTACGAGGCAGACGCTTTGATGTCTATAAGCACCGTGTGTAGAGACAAAATTTGTCTTAAGTATATAGTATCAAACACTAGACTTGATCTACTTAAAGTTCAATAACAGTTCTTGTTCTGTAAATGGGTCAGTTTATTCATTGTTTAAATTATAGATTTATTGTGCAACTGTTTTGTATGTACCTGTAGCTGTTTTGTTCTTGTCTGTTACTGTTTTGTTTTAAATTGCATGTTTCAAATTAGAAGTTTTGATAAGTAATTTTATTATATTTGAAATACCAAAAACCAAAACATATCAAATCAACTGTATACATAAAAATGGTATTATCATCTTTATGATCACCATTTCTATGGCCCTTTGGCTTACTAATTTCTTTTTCACATTCTCTCTCAATGATTTGGATTTATCATGACTGAACATCTATGAGAGTCACCAAACTGTGTAGGAAATATTTTCAGCAATGGCTCTAGAGTACTAGGATCAAATTTCCTTGCAAAAAGAAAGCAAATTGAGCTCATGACACCATTGTAAGTACAGTTAAACCCGAATCGCACACGATTCAAAAATGTCACCGACACATCTCGTCTCACAAACCTCTTCGGGTGTGAGCCACCTTGAGACCAATCAGTCCATGTAATGCTCGTATTCGAAGTCAGCTCGGGACAACGTTTGTTCACAAGTGTTGGCAAGTAATGCTCATCCATGTAACAAGGAGGCAAGCAATGCTCTTGAAACACAGGGTAATATGTCACATCGGAGACTATCTCGACCGCAAGCCTCCGGCTAACTTCAAACCATTGTGATCCTTTTCGCCAATTGGATAACGTGATCGTCGGCCACATTCGTTTGTTGTATCTTCCACGGCCTATTCGTCGTGGATCGTCGAAAGAACTGAGAAAGCTGTGGTTAGAGTTCATGAGGTATGTGTAGATTGTGGTGAAATTGAACAGAGGAATGCATGTTTCTGAGAGTAATACAAATCTCTCGTTGGAGAAGTCAAGGAGAGCATTGGCTAGAAGTCGTCTTTCTGCGTCGATCATTGTCACCCTTCCCCAGTGAACTGGCTGCAAAAATGAATCCATGAACATGATATTCAGTTAACGTATTAAATACTTTGGTAAAAGTACAACAAATAATCTCTCAAGAATGCAGTTTATGTCACTTTCGTCATAATTTTTTAATTATGTCATTTCAATCTTACAATTCTCCGATTTGCAATCACATTGGTCCAATCAAAACTGGCAGTTTAAGTTCATTAATAGAGCTCGGGTCGAGGCTGCCACTCATCCCTAAGGCGGATCAAAAAAAAGTGGGAAACCTTTTGCTGGTTTTTGGAATTCGATAGTAGGAAGTTTTTTCACACCATCGATCGACATCGACTCATCCCAATCTTTAAGAAAGGGATTGATGATCCCAAGTTCTTTTATCTCATTCACACTTTGGTACCTCAAGTTTGTTTTGTGTCATTTTGGTTCTTTATGCCTATAGTTTGTTACTTTAATCAATCTAGTTTTTCAGAATCACTTAAGTGTAGTCACATAAGATATACGTATCTATTTCCGTTCGTTTATAATTTTCAATTGATTTTTTTTTTTTTAACAATTTTCAATTGGATTAAAGTGTCGCAAATTGAAACTTTGAATCACTAAAAGAACACATTGCATAATCAAGGAAAGCAGCACACATGCTCCCCCAATCCCCTCCCCCCCTCTCTCTCTCTCTCTCTCGTAGATTCAAATGGAAGTTGTGAAAGGATATTTCGAACCTGGCTTGGTATTCTACGCTTGTAAAACACCGATGATTGGGGAGGCTCATAGGTGAATTCTGGCGAAGTGTGGAGGTATATTGAGAAGAGCCCTTCATGGCATTTGAAAAACTTCTCCCAAAGTGGTGCAAGAGGTAATCTTCCCCTAGTTAAGAACATGAACGCCACTTTTGGCTTCCGATTATACGGATACTCCACAATACAGGGAACCATCGACGCTCGCCACAACAACTCCTCATCGGTCATTGAATGCCAAAGATCTTTAGGAGATATCCAATCCATCAACGTACTGTGCGTAACAGAAAGATTTGATGGAAGCATGGAAGAAAGAGAAGACGATGGTGAAGAGTTACAATGAAAATGTGAGGATGGAGACCAAGGATGTAGTGGAGCGATTATGTTGAGGTGAGGGTAGTAAAATTCCTCAGATACCATGAATTTCTTGACATGATCATTGATGAACACTGCAAGAATAACCACAAAAGAAGCCATGCACAGACAGAAGATGACAGTGGTTGCTATTTGGAAACTCCCCTCTCTTACCTCTCTTCTTATGCGTGTAATAGAGGGTTCTTTTGCAGACATGGTTCTCTCTCTCTCGCGCGCGCTTATACAGTGACCATAAGGTTAGAAATGTGAGTTCTTTCACAAACACAGCAGCATAATGAGGATATGTTTAATAGCTATCAAAAGAGTGAGCACATTTGGCTTGTGACATGGTAGGGACTAAAGGAAAGGGGGGCACATGGGACATGTCGTTAGGACGTAGGATGGAAAGTGTGACATAGAAACTGTAGTGTGTGTGTGTGAGAGAGAGAGAGAGAGATTGTTACAGTTGAAGCCACTAAACCGTTTCTGGCAGGTAAAAACTGAAGATTCACTCAACAAGCACGAGAGAAGCAGGGGAAAAGATATAATATATTGTCATTTCCTTGCAGAAATGGAGGTGGGTTTTCTACACTTGTACAGGGGTCCCACGATAACCATGGGGTCCCAATGAATCCAATTACATATAAGAGAAAAACTTCTATGAGCAAAGGATAATGAGAAACCAGAAAAAGTAAAATCAACCAACATACCTCTAAAACCAGTTACAACTTCACAATACACCTAGCATACATCATCAGAAATTTCGCTCATTTTATTAGCAGATTAAAGTGGTTCTACTCGATAACTGTATCACCTGTCATCCTGCGGTCACCGAAAAAGTCCGATAACCACAATGCATATAACAAACAATAGTAATTCTACTTGGATTTAATTTGCTATTTTAATTAACCGTAAGTCTTAATATTTGATGGAATTTACCATCAATCAAACTGCAGTAACGAATTAGATCAGCAAAAATGGACCACTAATTCAGGTTCAAGTAGTATTACTGAACAACCAATTTTACTCAAAAAGGATGATCAATTTTACTTTTGCAGGTTCATTCTTTTTAATATAGTTTGCACCATTTAAGTAATGATATTATCCCAATTTGAATTAAAAGCCCAAAAGTTACATCATAATAATGTTACAAACAACTGCTGTAAGAGTGGAACACAACAGTAAGATGGGACATTATAACCACATATCCTTGTAACAGCATTAGGAATACCATTTTCAAGTCCAATTGTCATCACTATTGTAGTTATATGGAGGAAAGGGGAAGTGTAGCTATCACTAGGTTATAGACANCTTTTTTTTTTTGGGAAAAAAATCATTTAACGAATTGGGCCTTAATTCGAATTTAATTTCGATACCTGTTGGATTTAAAATTCGCATTGATTCAGATTATTGTTCCTTCTAATTTCAAATTTAAATTGTATCTGTTCAAGAGTGAATAGTTATTGAATGGTATCTTTTGACTGCATGTGTCTTCTGAGTTGTGTTTTTTCGCATGGTAGTTGTTTGGAACAGTCATCAGTTTGTCTATATAAATCCAGACTCATTACCATTCTGCATCAATTTTTTTTCGGAGTTAAGGCTGACATTAGTATATTATATTTCTATATTAAGACAATCTACATTTGGAGAGTACATAACATAATTTCTGGTTCGCAAGGCAAGTAGATTGGAGTGGTACTTCCATTCGCATGAAGATCATTATATTCTACGAGGTNATTTGGAAACTCCCCTCTCTTACCTCTCTTCTTATGCGTGTAATAGAGGGTTCTTTTGCAGACATGGTTCTCTCTCTCTCGCGCGCGCTTATACAGTGACCATAAGGTTAGAAATGTGAGTTCTTTCACAAACACAGCAGCATAATGAGGATATGTTTTATAGCAATCAAAAGAGTGAGCACATTTGGCTTGTNATAAGGTTAGAAATGTGAGTTCTTTCACAAACACAGCAGCATAATGAGGATATGTTTAATAGCTATCAAAAGAGTGAGCACATTTGGCTTGGGACATGGTAGGGACTAAAGGAAAGGGGGGCACATGGGACATGTCGTTAGGACGTAGGATGGAAAGTGTGACATAGAAACTGTAGTGTGTGTGTGTGAGAGAGAGAGAGAGAGATTGTTACAGTTGAAGCCACTAAACCGTTTCTGGCAGGTAAAAACTGAAGATTCACTCAACAAGCACGAGAGAAGCAGGGGAAAAGATATAATATATTGTCATTTCCTTGCAGAAATGGAGGTGGGTTTTCTACACTTGTACAGGGGTCCCACGATAACCATGGGGTCCCAATGAATCCAATTACATATAAGAGAAAAACTTCTATGAGCAAAGGATAATGAGAAACCAGAAAAAGTAAAATCAACCAACATACCTCTAAAACCAGTTACAACTTCACAATACACCTAGCATACATCATCAGAAATTTCGCTCATTTTATTAGCAGATTAAAGTGGTTCTACTCGATAACTGTATCACCTGTCATCCTGCGGTCGCCGAAAAAGTCCGATAACCACAATGCATATAACAAACAATAGTAATTCTACTTGGATTTAATTTGCTATTTTAATTAACCGTAAGTCTTAATATTTGATGGAATTTACCATCAATCAAACTGCAGTAACGAATTAGATCAGCAAAAATGGACCACTAATTCAGGTTCAAGTAGTATTACTGAACAACCAATTTTACTCAAAAAGGATGATCAATTTTACTTTTGCAGGTTCATTCTTTTTAATATAGTTTGCACCATTTAAGTAATGATATTATCCCAATTTGAATTAAAAGCCCAAAAGTTACATCATAATAATGTTACAAACAACTGCTGTAAGAGTGGAACACAACAGTAAGATGGGACATTATAACCACATATCCTTGTAACAGCATTAGGAATACCATTTTCAAGTCCAATTGTCATCACTATTGTAGTTATATGGAGGAAAGGGGAAGTGTAGCTATCACTAGGTTATAGACATACCCTGTATTTTTCTCTCATTTAGAATTAAGCTTGTTTCTAGCAGAGTACAGTACAGCAAAGCCAACCACAGCCACAGCACCAAGTAGTTTAGCCTTCCTTGATGTATGAAGCTTAAATGGGAAACTAGCACTTAAGAATGCCCATGTCCATCGGGATAGGAAATGCATCCCACAAGTTGTCTGGAACTTCTGAATTGAAAATTCCTACATAAAGCAATGCAATCTTAAAAGAGNATGGGAAACTAGCACTTAAGAATGCCCATGTCCATCGGGATAGGAAATGCATCCCACAAGTAGTCTGGAACTTCTGAATTGAAAATTCCTACATTGAGCAATGCAATCTTAAAAGAGACAAAATCTCTCCACGTAAGAAGTACAAACAGCGTGAAAATTCATTATCTAGGATCTACAAATAAACAAAGAATGTACATTTAAACTTATTGGGGACAATGCAAGAGAAGTGGCCCAACCTAAGATAAGGTTGATGTGAGCAGGCTGTAGAGAACAGCTTTCCTCGATTTGGCTCATATTTTACCCACTTTGCCAGCAAATGCAGCACAACTGCATTTAAAATTTTCTAGAGAGAAGCCCTGCACAAGCTCAGAGGAATTTTTGGAGATTTACTGAATTACGGAACGAGTCAACAGTACATAAGAATGAATGTCCCCACATCTGCCAGAATATCTATACTCATTCCAGCTAGTGATTTCAAAAATCAAAGACCCTTGGACTGACTAGGGAAGATGGTATAAGAGATCTCAAAATCTTTTCTCAAGAGACAACTAAAAGCTGCTATTTCATGGATCACAGCAAATTTTCTTTACCAGGCAAAGTAATAAGTGCTACAGATAATTCTCCTTGTCTGAGTATGGTATTACCACCCAAAACGGGACATGCAGGGTTCTATAGAAGATTCATAAAAAATTTCATACCATATCAAAATTCATGTGTCATCTCCTAAGTCATGATGTAACTTTTGTATGGAATGAAGCATGCCAACAAGCTTAGGGGTAAGTTAATTTCTGCCCCCAATAAGGCAACCTACTGACTGGAATCTACCATTTGAATTGATGTGTGGTACAAATGACTATGTTGTTGGAGTAGTGTTAGGTCAAAGAAAAGAGAAGAAATCATATGTGATTCACTATGCAAGCAAAGCTTTGAATGATGCTCAAATGAATCATTCCATAACTGAAAAAGAATTGTTTGCTGTGGTTTTTGCTCTCGAGAAATTTCGTTCTTACCCTGTTGGTTCATCTGTCATTGTACTTACTAATCATGTGGCATTAAAGTTCTTGCTCACAAAGAAAAATGCNTAACTGAAAAAGAATTGTTTGCTGTGGTTTTTGCTCTCGAGAAATTTCGTTCTTACCTTGTTGGTTCATCTGTCATTGTACTTACTAATCATGTGGCATTAAAGTTCTTGCTCACAAAGAAAAATGCCAAGCCACAACTCTTGAGATGGATACCTTTATTGCAAAAGTTTGACCAAATTATTAAGGGAAAAAAAGGGGCGAGAATGTGGCACCAGATCATCTATCCAGGCTAGCATATGAATTTCATTAATCTATATGTGGTTCATGATTTGATTTTATTTATAAGATTTTGGCTTCATAATATGATTGTCATTGGCATGTGAACATCAAGAAATCAATTACAAGGCCCAGCCTGCCTGGCAGCTCAGAGACCCTACCAGCGAATCAAACTGGCCACCAACCCAAGTTACAAAATGTGTTGAACTAAGCTCATCCAAATGAAAAAAAGCTCAGAAGTCATGCCTTCTCATGGCTTTTATTTCTGTAACATTAATATCAAATAATGGATAGTACAAAAACTGTCAGCCGCCATCAACCACCCTTACAAGGGATGTTCTTATTCCACTACCTTTCGAGTTAAGTGCACTTCAGCACCAGCCGCCACATCCCTTGCCTTACGTGATCAATTGGTTATTTGTCATTTGTTGGCAATAATAGATCTAACATCAGCAAGTGGCTATACGTAGGTGTTTGGGGTTGGAATTGGGGACAAGGTAGAGGTAGAGAAGCAATGACAAAAATGAAAATAAGAGAAGGATAAATGGTGTCATGATAGTCTGGAGCATTAGCACATCTAACCCAAAACCAATTGGCAATGAGTAGGGAGACCACTCAAGCATATAAACCAATCTTGGATGATGTAAATCATTCAATATAGGATACAAGCTCTCTTTAAACCCTCCCTCACATAGCACCCTGGCGTGCACCTGAGGCAAATAAACAAATATGAATGCTAGGAAATGCAAATGGATAAGAGTACTGGACCCATTGACCACCTAACGCAGCTCTGATACCAAGTTAGAGCAGTCAATTCAAAACCAATTAGCACATAAACCATTGGGTGATCCTAATCATTTGATGTGAGATGCAAACTCTCTTTATATGGAGAAGTGTCATCTTTAGATGTAAAATCCATTAGCAACTCATAAGCATAGAAATGGATCCTTCAGGTTCCTTTTTCCCATTCATTCCCTTGTTCAATTTTTCTTCATGAATTCTTTGTTGAAAATATAAAATATAAGATTTTATTACTAGTTTAATTTCTCTGCATGAGTTCAATGGACCCCCTCCTCTATCTCTTAAGTTAAACCAAGCTTATAGCAAATGGTCTCCCCCCCCCCTTTTTTTTTCTCTCTATCTGGTGTCTATATACCGCCAATGTCACAAAACATTTGAAATCAATACCTTAATTCTTTTTTTTTTTTTTTGCATCACGTCACTCCTTTCAATTGGTCAGTAGTGGCCTTTGTAGCTAGTCGGCAAAATTGCAACCATTCTTCTCTTCCCTCATCTTGTCCCTGATTGATGCCACTTCCAAATTGTCGCAAATGTACACGTTCTTTCATGTTTTTCATGTATGTTTAGTTTTGAGATTATGGGCAATGTCCACATAACGTAGATGTTTATTCTTTGGCATCCCTTGGAGGACCTTTGAGGAGGAACGCAGGAAGAATTGGATAGCTTGGGCCGAAAACTTACGTTATGTTCAATTTTAGATTTTTTTAATCAAAAATATTACTGATATTCAAAATTTTAAGGAAAGTTACCATTTGGTAACTTTTAAAGAGTGCCTATAAATATAAGCATTATACACCGGATGACTTAACTTTGATGTATGGGATTGAATTCATATTTGACAAATCCTCTCTCACACCTTCACGCCCTGTTGTTCTTTCTTCCCTCCTTATCTTCTATTTCTTTTTGTGTGTTGTTTCTCTCTCTCTCTCTCTCTCTCTCTCTCTCTAGCCTTACATCAATCTTCTTTCTAATACTAGTTGTCCTAATATTAACAAAATATCAGTCTGCCTAAAGGTTTTATGGTAGGAATTTGCCACCAATGCAACCTTATTTGTGGACCCAGGGCTGACAAAAAAAAAAGGGATATGATATGAAATACAACCAAATTACTTCATAGACAAGGCTCATTTCATAGAAGATTTGAGTGAAGGCCTAAAACAATTTGATATTAGCAATTAGCTACATGAATTTGTGAAAATTTGACGACTTAAGTTGTAAGAATTACCCCTCAATTTGGAAAATATCATGCTTAATGTATGGAAGATGTGTAATGTTTGTGTGAGATTGCATTTTTCACTTCAGGTATGGCATTGATCCTTAAGTTCATCCATGTTTGAACTTGTTCATTCAACTAACAATCTGATAACCCACTCAAGGGTTTCCTTGGTTAATCTAACCTTGAGAATAACTATTGAGTTCTGTTCAGACTTCAGCATAGGAATCATACCCACAAGCAATAATACATGAAAGTGGTAATGTAAGAACTAGACCAAGGATTAATAATGTATCACCCATAAAATTTTGGTCTTTCAAGCTTTTATGGTAATTATTGTTCGAGTTAAACACACCAATTGTTTCTAATTTCATGCCATATGATCCAGGTTTACGTTAACAACTCAGTCCAATCAACAAACTCACACAAATTTCACTACCCCATTTAAAGGCCCAACAATTAAATATCCAGTACTCCACAAGTTAGCAATGTTTGAAAAGGCTAAGATATTAGAAAGTACAAGTTGGAATCTTAATAGCTGCATTTCAATGGTGCATGTGCACATGGACATGCTTGGATATGCTGCCAATTAATGGAATTCAGGCATGAAAATAGGAAACGGATGAATGCTACCTTGGGTAACTTATCCTGCCGGGCAAGATGATCCACATGGAGCCTCACATTTGATCCAGCATGGATCCAGAGACTGCGATCCACATTGGAGTACACGTGTGCAACTACATCAAACAATGTTTTGGCTCCATCTTCTATAGCTTTCAAGATGGAAGATTCTCTGCTTCTGCGGTTTCTGAAAATAAAAAACAATTAGATGTTAGGATTTGATATTGAAATCATATTATTAAGGCCAAGCATAGCTCCACAAAATACAGCATCAAATCTGTGAAAACTGCAAAACCCTTGTCCCCAAACACAAATTATTGAAGAAAATACATGAGTGTAAGTCATCAACTTTTAGTTCCAACTGCTGGGTGAAACCCATCCCGGAAGAATTTACTATCTTAGAAACAGGTAAAATAAACAATGGTTGAAACTGGAAAATAAAATAAAAACAAATTGAGAGACAGGTGGGGAGAGTGATGCTTTGCAAAGCCTCCGGAGAAAGGTCATACAGTGGGCAATCTTTTGCAGTTTACAAGCTAAATGTGTGAACCATGGAGATATGCTGTTAAAAAATAGAGAGAAATCAATTTTCATACTTGAGATACTCGCAGAGCTTGTGTTTGGGCCATAGGTTCATTCTCCCATGCATGGGAATTAAAGCATGTGGGGAAAGCTCCATTAAGTTGTAAGTTGTTTGGAAATATTCCTGCATGAAAAGTAGAGTTTTTGAAACCTATGAGATTGTCAGCAACAAACTTTGGCAAAGAAGCATGATGATCTACATTTCATAATCACACATATGTGTCCTCACGTCTACATCTCATTTTTTGTCATATTATAATTCTTTTAAGTCCGTCATCCAAGCTTGAAGGGATTTCGGTTAAACGAATTTGATACAGAAAATTGCAGGCATTATTCCACTACATAAGGCCCAACCACGCTGTATATAGTAAGGTCAGACCTTCTCTTACTTTCACATCTCCTGTTATTAAAAAAGGATGCTAGGGCACCATGTAGAAAGTAGCACCAAGCCCATCTTGCAAGGTAAAGCAGAAAACAAAACCGCAAATTAATCCAACCTAAGACAATAGATAGAGAAGCCTCTCCCAACAGGGATAAAGGTAGCAGGCTATTCCATGAATCATTTTTTTTTTGGGAGGGGGAGAGGGGGAGGGGGACTTGAACCCTTGACCTCAAAAAGGTAAAGTCTTTACAAGGTAAGGAGTTCCATTGAACTAAAAGCCCATTGGTATTCCACGAATCATAAGTCAGGCCTTTAAGAAGCTAGTGCTCCTTCCCAAATGCAAGCCTTGCTAGGCAACAAGGCTCAGTCAACGCACAGGAGATAAGCAACCACACTTGATTCCAGGTTGACAGGGTTTAAATACATAGATTAGCTAACTCATTTGATTAACATAGCTAAGGTTGGGGTTAAAACAACATAGATTAGCAAAGTCATTCAATTCCAGGTCGACAAGTCAGGGGGGTCTTCTTCCCAAATATCAATCAGGGATAAAGAAACACTCAAGTGGACCTACTTTTTGCAGCCGACCATATCAGAAATAGATAGGCAAAATAAAAATGGCTCCTACTTTAGTGAGAAACAATGAACTAATGCTTGAACAAAAAGATTTCATAGCTCTGTGGACCTTTACTATTACAGAGGGCTGTTCATTCAGTACCGATTGAAAAACAATGAAGTTGCTTTAGTTATGGCAAATGAAGGGCGGGAAAGACATGTCCGATGAATGCACGAGCCAAGGACTGCAACTAAATCACAATCTCTGATGAATTGGACTGGAAAGACATGTCCAAAGAATGAACTCCATTCACAATATCAAGTTTGAAGTTCCCATGAGCAAAATTGACCCCGTCATATAACCGGGATTAAATGTTGTCTTCCTTAAACATAAAACACATTAAAATGGGAAGGAGTTCATCATCACTTTTCTGTATTGCCACAATCACCGTCTGTCTTCAGTACCATCTTTTGCATGCCAAAAATAGGTACCTCGCAAGGTGGAAATGATGTATTATACGAATGAAAAAAAAGTCCCATCTTCATTCCTTTGTTTATATCCAGCCCTGCCAGTTGCCTTTAATCTCAATCATGACCACTATATAAAATGTGCAGAATTTTAATCAAGAAAATGCCTTTGGCACTTCTCTTGAAAGCTGTTATATTCTTAATAATGGAACTCCTCCATCAATCAGTGCACAGTTGATCATATTTAATAATATCTCCTACCAATTTCTAAGGGTACCATCTAGCCTAGATGAGGGCATGAAATTGGTTTTCTACTAAAAGGACAAATCAGGTAAATTGGTAATGGCAAGAATAAACCAGAAGAAATCCTTGTGTGCCTTAAGTATCATTAAATAGAATGTAGAAAGAAACTTTAGATGATGTTAAATTGGGTCCTATAAATGATGTTTGGCGCAATGTAAGCATGGACCATGTCATGTCAAACTCTTTAGAAAATAACCTCATATAACTTAAACATGCATGCATAGACAAACACTAAATCCTTTTTCCAAATGTAGGAATAGGTATGGATTTGAATTCTTGTAAAAAAGAGGACTGGAGATTCTGACAACAAAAAAAGTATGATGGCACCTTTAACATAAGTAAAGCAAACGTCAGTCAAGAAGAATACGCACCCTTATGACGTTTTCACAGGAATTCTAGTTCTTAAGGTAGTAAGTGAAAACAAGAGTTCAATATGCAATAGAACAGATAAATGGTAGTTGGTTTGTATTGACATCGATAAAGGGAAGAATGAGACATTGAAGTACACTTACAGCCATATTCCCACCAGAAGTAATATCCAAGACTGCACTACCTTGGCTGAAAGAAACCCATGAGCACATTAATGGAGTAGTTTCTAAAATGAAAAATTGCAAAACAAGGACACAATTCCAGAATAATACCACAGAAGTTAAAAAGGATGGGGATTTGAAAATCAAATGTTATCATATTAAAATTAATCTGCAAATTACAAAATAATGGAAAAACATAATTTAAGGAAACAAACACAATACTTGTTAAGGCACGTGTCCCACACACTAAAGATTGCCTTAAGATAGTGGAGGTTTCCATACATCAACCAAAACAACTGAAATCAAAATGATATCAAGTGGATATCCACTTATCTAGCCATGCAAATAAGTAAGCCTAATAAATGTATAATACACAATTTCTTCTTCTACAGAATCTTACCCCACACAATGATCGCCAACAATCACCGAGTGAGTACTGACATGAAGCAATGCCATGTGGCCATCAGTATGCCCCTGAACAGGGAAGATTTTTTTTCATCAAAACTAATTTGAAGAAATATGATACATCTAAAAATTAATTTAGATTTCGAAAACAAGAATGGATATGATTATAAGAGAATAGAAAATTAAATGCAACTAAAGAGAAGCTAATTAAACTCAATCTTGTACTTCCTCGAGCTCAGACTCATGGATCCAAAGATTAAAGCAAGTTTTTTTTTAAAAAAATAGCGCTGTCAGCAGTACTGGTTGTTCTTCCATGTAAATAACCTAATATCTATTTTCAGTCTATAAACCAGGTTTTTTGTCATCTGTAGTTTTTCGAATTACTCCCCCAATAAAAAGAAGTAATTTTGTGTCTGCGTAAAACAAGTACAAAACTATGGTGATGATTGTGCCTTTCTTCCAAGTGCACACTCCAATTGCTTCACTTCTTTAAGTTGATCATTTGAGCCTAAGAGGTAGCTCTATTTTTCCATCCAATGATTTTTTTAGTGAGCATGGTAGAAGCAAGTGAAATACAAACCTATCAAAGTAAACAATCATGTAGAGGAAAATTACCGGAGCAAAAATGACTCTTAAACGCTGACCACCAATGCAGATCTCCTCAGCTCCAGAAATTGCGGTACAACCAAGAGACCAATCGTCTGTATCAAATACATATAGTTGTCAGATTAGGATAAGTTTTTTTTATTTGATGAGGAAGATTTCTATCTTTTTGTTAGACGAACCAGCTAAAACAACAAACACCCTTTCTTTCTGTTTGGTAAATCAGGTGAAACAATGTGACTCAATGAGCACAATAAAGTTGAGAGGTGTCCCTCTTCAGAATTCCAAAAAGGAATAGCTCCGTCAAAATAGTTCATTATTTAAAGAAGCAAGGTATTAAATCATGAGCAATCTTAAAAGTCATCACTAAGTGGACGAGTTCCAGTGTATTCAGTCAATTATGGACAGACCAGATAAAGTAAATTGTTTTCTGAATTGATTAAAAATTTCCAGCAGCTTACAAAAACCAAAATCGTTCTTGCCCATCAATCTACTACGTCACATGAAATTGTGTCTCAAGATTCTAAGACCACAGATTCATGGGGAATGAGTTCAATCTTCAAAACTTGACATTTATGAGACTTAGTTGCAAAGTGATAACAACACAAGCATCTCAAATGGGATGGTAAACAGTAACCTTTTCGAATGCGACAGACGGTGTTTTCATGTGCTACAAGAGAAGCATCAGGATTGGTCTTCTGAACAACTGAAAGTCCTGATCATGTTTAACATACATCATAACCAATTAGCACCTATCTATGCAAAAAGGTAGACAAATCGGATCACCACAAAAGAACTTCAGATTAATTTATGGAATCAGGAACCACAAGTGAAAAAAATAAAAACAAACAATTGTAGCATTTACTGAATATTTGACAACCTACACATGAAAGTGCAAATTCAAAAAGATCTTCCCCTGTGAATGTTTTGGGTACAGTAAGCAGCAACAGAAGCAAGGTTGCATTATGTCACAAATGTCTCAACTCTGGGTTTGAAGATGTCGCAGAAAATATGACAAAACAACTAAAATTAAAAAAAGGCAACTTGTCTTACTTACCAACCAAGATGAGTATAAAGGTCCCAGTAAGCATGAAACAAAGGAAAAAGAATTTATTCATGGTTGAAATGTAGGCTTTCAATCCTTATGGAACAAAAAAAGGTGGACACTTATCAAGATATACAAAACTGCCATGTGAACAGGGGCAGACCCAACTTAGATTAGCTGCAGAAGGCCAAAGTGATATCAGTATTTTTCTCCTGGGGAGGCAAGGAGTGTTGGGGCGGAGGAAGCCAATATCTAGAGCCGGGGTAATCAGTGAGAAATGCAATCAAACTCCTAAGTATTGAGGGAAGGATGATGAGTACTTCATCTCATGGAATCATGACAACAATACTCTAAAGTTGAGCAATATAGACCTAAATGCAATCCAAGAGACAACAAATATAGCCAGGAGCCCAGTATAGAAAGCTGGAGGTCCAGAGTTCCAATCTCCACTTGGCCAGCACATTTATTTATTCCCATAATGACCCGGGTGAATGCGGGACGGCTATAGATGCTAGAGATTGTTAGATGAGTGCTGTAAGATGCCCCGATACCTCCTTGTTAGTAAATANCCAATCTCCACTTGGCCAGCACATTTATTTATTCCCATAATGACCCGGGTGAATGCGAGACGGCTATAGATGCTAGAGGTTGTTAGATGAGTGCTGTAAGATGCCCCGATACCTCCTTGTTAGTAAATCCATGTATACTTGGGTTAGATGTCCACGGATTAATTAGTCACCATGTGTGTGGATTAGAGCTTTAGATGAGTGATGTACGATCATTGGACACCTCCTTGGAAGCAAATACATGTATACTTTTTTTTTCCTCTGATTAATTAATAACCATTTAAAAGAACTATAAGGAGAGTTTGTATCCCATATTGAAAGTTTTGTACCAGCCAAGATTAGTTCATATGGTTGAAGGGTCTCTCCATTCATTGTCAATTGATTTTGGCTTGGATGGTTACTGGTTCAAGTCTCACCCATTTGAAATTTTTGGAATCTATGTTCTTTTAAATGTTCTTTTAAACGCTTGTTTGTTAATCCATGTGCAAGCCCAAGTCCCACGTGAAGGGTGACATAAAAAGAACTTGCATCCCACATCGAAAGATTAGTCAGCCAATGTTGGTTTATATGGCTGAAGGCCCTCGTCACTTATTGTCAATTGGCTTTCGGTTGCATACTTCTAACAAGAACAATCACAGTGCACGAGAGAGTGAGAAAAGAAAGAGGTGTTTATCTATTTGAACAAAAAGGGGGAGTGGAAAAAGCTATGGAGAAATATTGTAATAAAGGGGATTAAGAGTGACTAGTGAAAAAATAGCTAAAAGCACAATCCTATATGACTATACGGAAACAGCCTCTCCATATGCGAGGTAAAGCCACATACATCTGACTCTCCCCAGATCCAGCAGTGGCAAGAGCCTCGTACACGAAGTTGTCCTTTACTTTGAGTCAATAATCCCTGTGGTCAAATCACCTAGAACAATGGTAGGTTCCCAATTACCAAAATGAAACCAGAATCAATTTATCTGTTTATCTTATAAATCANCAGTGGCAAGAGCCTCGTACACGAAGTTGTCCTTTACTTTGAGTCAATAATCCCTGTAGTCAAATCACCTAGAACAATGGTAGGTTCCCAATTACCAAAATGAAACCAGAATCAATTTATCTGTTTATCTTATAAATCCCTAGCCGGACATTATTGTTTAGAAAAGTCTAACACTACATTATCGAAAAAAAAATGTAAGATTCAGATGCTTCAAAAGAACAAATTCTATAAAATAAAAAATTAAGGGCAAAAATTTCAATAATCAATACTTTCTGCAGTGACTTACCATCCACATGATCGCGATGGTGATGGGTAACAAAGACGACTAACTTTCTAGGCAAAGCAGCAACAATTTCCCTGAGCTGGTCGTGCAATCATTGGTGCAAGAAAATGGCACAAAAGAAAACAAGAGAGTCACTTATTATCAAGCATTAATAAAGAAAAAACAGGCCCAGAATATAAGAATGAAAATTTCGGCCACCTTCCTGCAGCAAGGGCAACAGTGTAAAGCCATATACAAGAAAGCTCAAAGATGAAATAAAGCAAACGAAAAACTTGTAAAAAAAAGAGGGGGGAAAAACTATATAACTTAGATAAAAACAATCTAGAAGATGGTGGACATCCTTGAATAAGGATTTCTCTCCTCCCTCCCTCGTGTCTTTTCTCTTTAGAGTTAACAACACAAATCTCCAAAGTATGTTCACACAATCCAATTCCAATGTGTTTTAGAACAATAGCAAAAAATGAATTACTGCGTAAAACTTGACCTTTGGGCCGACATTTCATTGTGTGAGTACTTGTCAAGTACAATTGTACCCAATGCAGGACCCCATTGCATATGAAGGACAGATAGAGTGCCCGAGTAACAACACATTGTCTGATTCCTGACTATTATTTCCTAAAATCAGGCATATTACCTTAAAACGATTGAATATTCAAGAACAAACTCTATTTTACTCGAGTACTCTTCCGTAGCTGCAAATATGAATAATCTTAAAGTTTCATTATCCAATACAGGATTTCATCACGATTTACATAAACTGTTTTACGGGATTGATCAGCATTTCAATGACAAGTGATATTTGAGCTTGTATCAGGAAGATGATGGAGTGATCCATTACATGCCCAAGGGCTGCAAGGAATTTATTTTTCTTTGTGTCTGACCAAACAAGAATGTGCTAAAGCACCAAAACAACAATTCAAATTTCAAACTGAAATATCATACCTCCCCATGGAATTCTGGCAGGCATCCTGGATCCATTATTAATGCATCTCCATGAGCAACATAATTACTATCACCATGGTTGCCATGATTATTCTCAGGTGCAAACACAACTAAGTTTGTAGTATGAAAAGGCTTCCCTGTTCTACTACCCATAGGTACAAGTTTTATCCCAGGTGGGTATTCCTGCAAAAAGAGAATATACCATAGTTCCATCATATAAATATCAATATGTCAAAACTAGGCAATGCATTCAGGGACCAGATATCTACACATGTAATATTTTCACAGTTTGAAGAGAGACTGTACTAAAATGTGGTGCAGATCTGAATCTGATTTTTCAACCATATCATCGTAGGTAAGACATCTAAGCTATGTTCCACGTCCACTAATATGTTTCCTGACTGTGAATTGCCTCTAGCCTCTAGGTGAGTAACTCCCCCATATCATTATAGACTAGGCATGTAAGATATGTTATACATACTCAAGCATGTGTACAGAGTGCCAATGTGTTTCTAGGTGTCCAACTCATTCAAATCCAAAATCTACACAAGGAATGTCTAAATGACAAGTTTCCAATTTCTATTCCTGTGAGCTTTTTTAATTGAAAGGAACATGTTTTGTCTATCTTGGTAACTTCATAATCTTATATCAAGCTCATATCCATACAGCATCTGACAATGATGTTTCACCTGTTTTTGGATTGCATGCTAACATAGCTTCGACGTACAGACTAGTACAAGTGACAAAGATTTTGTGACCCTTGCAGGTGACTTCACATTAGAAGACTTCTAATTAAGGCCTCTAACCACATTAGAGATTAGAAGTTAAAATAACTAAGGCATTGTGGGAGTGACCACTATGAAGCCCACTCCATTAATCTATAATTCTGTGTTTTGAAAACATGATCTATTCATTTTCATGCCTAACCTATACATTTTCATCTTCACGTTCTTTATTTTCCTCAAAAGAGAGAGAAGAGAACATATATAATACACTTAATAGAATCATTTCCCTCACCATTAGAAGTTATGCTCTTTTGTACATTAAGCCATTTTATTTATGGATACTCACTCCCCAACTCTTTATGTAGCATGTTTTCACTCTGTCTAATCAGTAACATTCTGTCAAAGACTTCTTCTTTTTTTTCTGTCAAAGACTCAACAGGCAACAAACCTGGAAATTCAAGGTGGGAGGGATTTTCCACTTATCGNCTTTATGTAGCATGTTTTCACTCTGTCTAATCAGTAACATTCTGTCAAAGACTTCTTTTTTTTTTCTGTCAAAGACTCAACAGGCAACAAACCTGGAAATTCAAGGTGGGAGGGATTTTCCACTTATCAGATTGCATAGAATCATTTAGAAGACCAGCAACAACCAAAGGCCCCACACGATCACTACTTGGCTTCACTTCTATAAGCCAATTTAGACAACTTTGTATGCACATCCACTTACAGACCTCTGCAATACAGTTCGAACATTAGTTGCATGTTGTAGAGTGAAAGTACAATTACGTGAAAAAATGAGATTTAGACAAAATGATTGTGACTTTCACATCAAGAGGATAGCTTGATATTTGATAATCTTCTCATCAAATATATCAAAGAAAGTAATATCTACTGATTTTTCACGTTAATATCACCAAAGCAACCAAAGGTTGTAGAGTTGACTACAAGTTCTCAGAACCATTTTATTTTTCATTTTTCATAAACATGCATCGCTACAAAAATTGAACATGACTTCATGTCATTGCAACAGAGGGTTTCTGAGGGAGAAATCGAATCAGATGGTAGTTTGAGGATAACGTCTTCCCGTGGCCTATCTATTCCAATGAGATTCACAGTTTGGGGAACTTTTACAAGTTACAATCTTACAGAGGTAATCAATAAAAAACGAGATGAAATCATACAATATTATCATAAGTTCTATTTCAGAAGATTCTATACTTTGCTACTAGGTTAGTTAATTTCTGACCTTATGCTCTAGAACATAATGTAATGACCCAGGGAGATTAATTCTTGACCATTTTTTTTTAGTGAATAGCATGAATTTTATTGATTTGAAGTGAAGTTTTGCAAAAAAAAGGGAAATAGAGAGAAAAAAAAAACTTTTTACAGCCAATGCAAGGTATTTAAAGTACTATTCAAACCATAGCCAAGGTCTGAGGCAAAGCAGCCAAAACCATCCACTTTTGAGCACCAGACTCTTTAAGACTATTATCAGAATAGTCATATCAATCCTTCAACAACAAACTCATATATTGGAAGAGAATTCTTGAAGTTCAGTAGTACCGAGCATTCAATACTTGCAGGAAAATCCATTTTTGGAGAAGTTCACTGTACTGTACCATTGTCTTTAGACTTGTTAAAAAACATTCTTGAGTTCTTTTTTTTCCAAATATAATAGATGGATGCAGCTAAGACCAACCTGGGAATCATCTTTTANAAATCCATTTTTGGAGAAGTTCACTGTACTGTACCATTGTCTTTAGACTTGTTAAAAAACATTCTTGAGTTCTTTGTTTTCCAAATATAATAGATGGATGCAGCTAAGACCAACCTGGGAATCATCTTTTACATACATTTAATTTAAAATTAAAAAATTTAATATTAGAAATAAAAAAAGCCTCATTTTGTATTACCGCTTATAAAGCACGGATATTTCGTCAAGGTCAACCTACCCGTATCAGATATGATACTCATCGGATATTCAAAGATACGTATCCGATAATTAATAAAATATGTGGATATTTCGCAGATGCTTCGCTGATACTTCTACATATAAAGCAAGATGTATAATTTTTAATTTAAATTTATACATTCTCCTTTCAAATTCACATATATTACAATACATCAACAAAATTCCATTTGATTTTGAAGACACGAATGTTTAAGTATTNATACTTCTACATATAAAGCAAGATGTATAATTTTTAATTTAAATTTATACATTCTCCATTCAAATTCACATATAATACAATACATCAACAAAATTCCATTTGATTTTGAAGACACGAATGTTTTAAGTATCNAATTTTTAATTTAAATTTATACATTCTCCTTTCAAATTCACATATATTACAATACATCAACAAAATTCCATTTGATTTTGAAGACACGAATGTTTAAGTATTATCTACTATTATCTATCAAAAGAATATAAAAAAAATGAGTTAGTTACACTATAATCTTAGAAACAAATACTTGTAAATAAATCAACTAATTAAATGTTGGTTCTGATTCCTTTAATTGGTTATGTTCCCTTTATGAATATATTATAATGAGACAATATTACACCTTTTTAAATGTAAAAATTGCTAATTTTGCTCATTATTGCTATCCGTATCTTATCATACCCATATTTCGAATTCATGTTTTTCAAATCCGATCCTTTTAACGGTCAAATATGAAATTCTTGCTCCATATCCAAATTTGTTAGCAACCGAACATTTGATTCAATCCGATAATTTGAATTCCACCAAAATTTTGTCATAATCAAGAATTTCACCAAATAAAGGTTGAATTTCAACATTATTCCATCAATTATTCCCTCCATTCCAACAACTTTGGTTTAATTTTATCACCATGTTATCAACAATACCACCAAATCAACAAAAAAAAATGAAATGAAATACAAATCAAATTTTGTCTAAGCCTAGATTTCTTTAAACCAAGCCAAAACAATTGCTTACATCTTTAACCAAGTAGGAACTCTAGTGTCTCGCACCTTCCAAATCTCAAATCACGAAGGCAATTTCCCAGTACATAGAAAACAAAACATACTTTCCAATTTTTGAAATCTCACCCAACATCAGCACCCACGAACTTACTAGAAAATCCATCCCAAACTGTAAAATTTTGTCGAAAATAAAGAAAAAGAATGAGGTGAGTAGAAGATAGGGAAAGAGAGAAGGACAAGAGGAAAACTAAGAGAACAAAGGCGAGACCGAAATTGGGGTATAGTAGAAAGAGAGAAAAAGCAACAAAAAAACAAAAAAGGGAGAGAGGGAAGTATATAGGGAGAGGGGCGCCACCTCATAAAGCTGATGGGGTGGGTGTGTGTGTTTGTGGGGGAGGGGGTCTAGGTTCTTAACTTGGGGTAGGTTTATGTCTAAATCACACACACGCACACATAAATATGTCGGATCGCATCGTTATCAGATCGAATTATCCAAATCAGATTTAATAGGTCTAGACGAATTCGAATCGGACTCAGATTAATGGATTAAAATCTCAATCCATGTCCGACTATACAGATTCAGATCCAGAACAGGATCTGGCCCATTGACATGTCTAATGTAGATCTTGACTCTATCCAAGAAACTAGGCCTAATTCTAATGGTCAATCATAGAATATAGTTTCATCTAGGAACATTTTTTAAAACCATAACAATTGGTAGACATCAGGTGACCGAGTTCTAATCAAGTTGCTGGCAGAACCCACAGAGAATATATCATTTGCAAAATAAATCCCTCTAACTACATTTAGTACCATTTGGCCGATGAGGTATCATAGAGTTTTTAGTCTCTGATAATTCACTTGAGTTTGCATGTGGTCATCACCACTCATTACCATGTACAATAGAAATCACCAAAGCTTCCAGAGGAATGTTAAAATCATAAACAACTCTAAGAATCCTTTGAGTAGCAAAGGCCAGAAGTATGTCAATTATCATACCAAAGTTTGGTATTATTAATCTTCCCCACCTCTAATCTACAAAGGTCACCCTAATACACCTCATCTAAATTTCCTAGGTCCCTTTTTCTAACATCACCTATTGCATTACAATCATAATCTATGGTGAATGAGTCAAGTGGAGATTAGGTCTAGAAACATAGCACTTCCTCATTTCAGACACAAAGCCTCGCATTTTTCAAGAATGAATAGTCAATTAACATATGTGTAGAAGTCGGAAACCTTTGTCGCTAGTTAGATTTTAGAAATTACGAATTTGGGTCTTCACACCAGTTCTATCTATAGTCTACCCTTTCTAAGAAGTTCCACCCCCTCCCCCTCCCCCCCAAAGTAAATTAAAAACAAAATTCATAATCAGAATACATTTTTAAGAGTTCAAACCATATCTATATATCCTATTAAATGTAGTTGGTTGTATGAGCCTCAAATCTTAGACACTAATTTTTGGAATTTTTAAATACATTTTAATTTACACATGGCAGTCTCTCACTCTATTTGTGTGTTCTCAACTTCTTCAGAAACCTACTCTGACTAAACTCCCAATCCCGTTCAAACTCTCCACTACTCTTGCCTACCTTTTCTCATCAAGTTTATAACGTTAAATTATTTAATAACAATGCATTAATCTCATCAAATTAAATCATTTCATGTGGCTTATATAAGCATTCCCACAAAACTATTTTAAATTTGAATTTTTCATCCTCCTTAATTTAGCACAATAATAGGTAATTTTTCAATAATACTAGGATGAGGGCGGGGGTGGGGATGAGTTGTTGCAATAGGGGGTGGAGGTGGGGGTGCTAGGATTGTAATGAGAGAGACTGAAAATATCGTGCATCGCACGATGTGCCGCTAGTATATCTATATCTATACTGCTTATAAATGTCTTTTGATTTCTTATTTTATCCTTAATTATTATAATAAAGTCAATTATACCCACCTTTATACTTTTTATCTAATTTTTGTTTCTTACTTCTATTTGAATTTCAACTTATTTTGAATTCTTTTATAAGAACTTTTAAATTTTTTTGAACTCATTTACTAGTAGTATAATTACATATAATTTTCTATATCTATGTCAAGTAAAGTTTTATTATATATGTTAAATTATGTAGTTATCAAATTGAATTTCACGGTCAAATATATATTTTATTTTATTTTTTAGTATGCAATAATATAATATTATAAGCGATCTAACAAATTTGTTTAAGAAAATAAAATTTAATAATTCTATAATATAATTAGATGTGCAAATATTTAAAAGGGACAGACAGATATATATATATAAATGTCAAATTTGACACTCAAAGGCTTATACAATAAATTAATAAGTAAATTTAGCAATAATTAAAGTACGGATGAATTATTCGACACTTAATTTATTATTTAATTTAATTACAAAAATAATTCACATTTTTTTATAAATAAGTATTATTTAAATTTATTTACATCTGCACATTGTGCATTGGTAGTACACTATAAGCATCTAGCTGTCTATTCTATTTTCACGTTTTGCCCTCTAAAATTAACCTACAATGAAGGCCAAAGCCATCCTTCGAAAGGCCAGTATGTTTAGCATCTGGAATAAGAATCACAAAGGATTTAACCAATTATGGCAACATCATCAGCATTAGGTCAATCAAACCTCTTGAGTTCCCATCGTCAGGAACTAAATTTCCGACAATGTACACCGTCTTTATAGGCAATCCTGGCCCAAATTCAGGTTCCTCCACACACTTCCAGAACTTCCAC